AATAAAAGTTGTATATTTTCCTACAGAAACAAAGGAACATGCAAGAGTATATTAATAACATAAATATTTAATCGTTTTTACATCCATTGTGTTACCAAACATTGTCCTTTGTGTTACTCAAATTATTTATTGAATTAATTTATAGCTCATGGAAACATAATATGAAAAATAAATGCCAATTTGATAAAAATATTTCTGTTATTTTATATTGTAATAAACTTTACACAAATGTTGTATTAAAATTGGGAATTTAAAGGGTTTTTTTTCAATTGGTCTGCGGAGTTACCCAATTCTGTCCTTTGCATAACCAAGACTGCAAAATCATATGATTCTCAAATGGTAAAAACATTTAGTAAATAATTTGGCATTTTAAAACAAAATTAGTTACTGGATAGTTTTAAATAAGGGAGGAAAATAAAACATATGACTCCAACTTGCATTCTTTTTAAATATTTTTTATGTAAATTGTCCATGGAGTAACTAGATACATCCTTAGAGTAACTTTTCTTGCAGTAACAAAATGGACAGTAACACCAGGGAATTATTATATAAATAATTGGAAGTATAAAAGCAATAACTGACTTATGAACATAAAGCACAGCTCCTAGATGATAGGTATTTTGTTATAAACTTGCTCAATGCATCAAAGAAATGGCAAATTAATTTATCATCACAATATCGAAGTAACTCCTAGGACTCAAAAATAAATTACTATTGCAATCAAACTTGCCTTCAACCACATATTGTGCCTATGGTATAAAAGATCTGTGTAAAGTGTCTTATGATATTTTGGCGGGAACAAGACCAAAAGAAGGAGGCTGATAGTCAAGAGTTTCTTTAGGAAAGATAACTGTTACAGATAACTTTTATGTCCTGGTAACTCCAAGGACACGGCCAAAATAACACACACTTAACTTAAAAAAAAATCATATTCTTACTCTTTTTCAATCACATTTTAGCATGCATTTAGACAGTATTAAACATGTACAACACAATAAAGGTCATTTTACACTGCTTAATTATATTTACTACATCAATAATCAGAGTTGAAGTCAAACATCCGGCCAAATCACAAGCAATTCTCTTTAATTTTACTCAGGTTGAAGGACTTTTTTCAGTATTCAAGTCAATTTTTAATCGCACTTAATTTTTTTCTACACTTGCAGATTGTTGTTAAATTCATCGGGTAAAAAAAATTTAATTTTTATTGCAAAATTTTCAAAAAAAGCTTGTATAACAGGAATATGGACATTTTTTGAAAATGACCCATCTACAGGGCCATTTTATGCGTAAAGTGAACCGACTTCTTTTGAACAGATAAACTTCAATTAAAGATTTTTATTAAATTTTCAAATTTTCACTAAAATTGGGTGGGGATGGTGACGTGCATTTACTTCATGGGGACTTTTGAACAAATTATTTCCTCCCTCGATAAGTCTGTAGTCTGTCAGTAAATTCTACAATTTACAACTACAATAAACTTAATTTTTTATTGGGCTGGGTTTGACGAAACTATCGTAAGATTTGTGCTTAGATTGCACGGGTAGTTATCTAGTGTCCCCCCCCCAAAAAAAATAACCTGGTCACTCATTTAGAAAATGTAGATCAGATCTAGAATCCAAAGTAAGTCTCGACTGTCTATCTATAGATGCATCATCTATGCAGTTTTAATCATGATTACAGGCCATAAGATTGTTGCCCGCGTGGCGCAGTGGTTAAAGTGTCTGCTCTAGAGTCGCAAAGTAAGGAGTCAAATTCTTACGTCGCGGGTTCGAATCCCACTGTGGGACGTGGAGACCGGTCTTTCAGATGAGACCTTATAAACCGACCCCCCGTCCCTCACTGCTCAAAGGCCCTGAGTGCCAAGCATAGGACAAAATTTGTAGCCCTCCACCGGCAAGTGGTGGCGTCTCCATATGAGTGAAAAATTCTCGAGAGGGACGTTAAACAATATAAAATCAATCAATCAATCAGACCATAAAATTAAAGAAATACTCAAAAAAAAAATTACTCGGGTTACTCATCTAAAATTGTAGGCCAAAATCAGCAACCGAAGCAAGTCTAGTAGTGTCCATCCATAGATGCATCTGATCATTCATGCAATTTCGGTCTGGGTAGGACTTATAGTTTCTTGAAAATGGACCTGCTCTAAAATATTAAACTGGTCACACAGCTCAAAAATGACGGTCAGATCCAGCATCCAAAGCAAGTCTGGTAGAGCCCATCCATAGATGCAGCATCAATGCAAGTTTAGTTTGGGTAAGGCTTAGAGTTACTTGGGAATTGACTTGCTCCTAAAACTGACACCTGTGACACCAACACCAAAGCCGGGCACAGCACAAGCTTAAGGTCAGATGACATGTTCCTCAATATATTATAATTTTTCCAAAGAATTTGTCATTGAAGTATAGATACTTAATAAAGTTTCCTAACAAAAAACTAGGGTACCTTACCATGCATTTTGCGAGAATACCATAAGGTCATTTTTCTTAAATAAACTATATGGTAAATATTCTAAATGGCCATAACACAATTTTTGGGTGTACCTATAATTGGAGTTTTATGAAGAGACTTTTATATTCAACAGCTGACTTTTACATTTTAGCTCCATTCAAACTCCATTAAAACATTTTGAAAACAATGGAAAATTTAGGAGAGAATAAAAAAATATGAACACATTTTGATATTATACCAAGAGATTTTAGATAAGTTTTTAAGGAACATGTTGTTTGACCTTAAATCGACTTCATCGAGATGGGCTAAAAATGTTAAAACCTTCCATACACATCAATTTTATGAGGTTTTATAATCTATTCGTACCCTTTAGTTATAAAATCAATTGGAAGTTTTTTTATTTCACACAAATCAAATTGATAACATGTTTTACCAGTATGTGTCCCCATATTTTCTGTAAGTTATCTAATTGGTTAAATGTATTTTCACAAGCGTCCCACATACAAGGCTTAACACAAGTTTATTTCCTTTGTTTTTCATGGAACTATGTCTCCTGGTGCAAAGAATACCATACATGTTAACATATTGTGATGAAAAAGAGGGAGATTCAGACCTCAAAAGCGGTAGCATTGCGCGCGTGTTGTTTAACGCTTGGATTATCGATATCGTTCATGTAATATACATGTATATTATAAGCCTTAAATGAAATCAGGTACCTACACTAATTAATCTTAAATATCAACAGCAAAGAAGAAGACAGAAACACCTTAAGTTTGACATAAATTGTACAAATTCAAATATTTTTCATGCTCATCATTTTGCTTGGATTGGCTACTTTACTTAGCCTTGTGAAGAGGGATCTTTGCTGATTTAGCCTAGAAGCAATAATTCAAAATATTCATTCAGTTTTTAAACAAAACAAATGATAAAATGGTTTAATCTAGATCTAAAACAAGTTCCTATCTTTCGTTATATAAATCAGATTTCCCGCGATGATCGAAAACGAAAGTAGAGATGTGCAACATGGCTTGGTCAATCGAGTGATTTCTATTGACTTTATTGATAAAGTTGTGAGTTTCTGTGCTTTTAAAGACGATGTCAAATGTTTTCATCTAATTCTTAAAAGCTGTATCTCCTTTTTCATGGCAGGGATGTTGATTAATTTATCGTAACTAATGTAATCACTGGTAGTCTTGTGTTGTTGTCGTTGTCAAATCCGTGCTTGAAATCTAAGTACAAAAAAAGCGATTGTATGATTCCGAGTCTAATCACGCGATATCTAGCGAGATTTTATGAGAGTGGCTTCAAAAATGGATACCCAAGCGAACCAAAAATACTTTAGACGAAGCTTTTGAAGAAAAGCGGTAGATTTCTGCATTAAATCGGTAGGCGGGAGATGGAATGAAAAAGCGGTAGACTCCAGCCTAAATCGGGAGAGTTAACATGTATGAGAATACCTTCCTACATACTTTATAATTAAGATTTTAATTTCTTATATGAAAGAACTTTATGCGGTAATAACCAATATTTGCCCCCCAAATCAAACTTTGATGGAGGTCATACTTAATTAAGGAATTTCCACCCTCACAATTTTATGGGTTCAAAGTACAAAAACCGCATATATTTTCATTCAATATACTTTAAACTTTCCATTTATTGCAAAAAATGTATAGGTCACCATATTATTTAAGATGCAAAACATAAATAAACAGAACTGTATGTCAACATCAAAAAATTGTACATTTTTGGTTAAAAGTATTGAAGAAAATATGTAAAAACTGGTTAATATGCATAATTCTGATGCTGAGTGTTCCTAAATACTTCCTACCTAAAAGATACTTTTGAATTGTGAATATCAGGTAAACTATTTTACAGAAAAGCAAATGCCTGAATGAAGAGACCTTAGAAGGAGTTATTGCCCTTGTAAACATTATTTAAAGATTGAATAATTGATTAAATATAGAAAATATGCATTTTTTGAATTCTTTAACATAACAATATTTATCATTACACCTATTGTAAAGCATTCTTCCAAGAGATATTTCTCTATAAGGTACAAATTTAAACTAATTACAGTTTTTGCAAAAACCTATGACATCATAGGAGTGTGGAATTACCTTAAGTTCTTAAACAGGGGAGTATGTGCTGACTTCAAAGCACTGAATATTTTCAGAAGTTATGATGGCATATGTACGTAATGACGTCACAAACATGACGTAAATTTCAGTTTTTTTTACGAATAATGTTTAGATTTCGTCGATATTTTGAGCAAAAGTCACTATGCACATTTGTGTTCAGGATCAATATTTTGATATAATATTTAGAATGATAATATCAATGAAATATGTAAATATTGTTCCTGAACACACAAGCTCTCTATAAACTCTAAAGCTAAAATTGTTGAAAATTTTGTCCATTTTGTCCTTGTTCTGAAAAAGGATATAAACTCGGGACTAGTTTGTGATGCCATAAAAGCAAAATTACTGAATAAACTGCTTTGAAACTATAATATGTTCTGTAAATTTATATTTTTCATACAGTTTATTGAATTCAGCACATTTCATGAAGTTTTCAAAATGTGACTTTTGTGGGGGCAATCTGGTAATGTCAAAAATAATTCAGATCTTTATTAAATATTTTTTTAACAAGTTGTTATTTGTCACTTTATTTTCTTCTTTTATAAATCTGATTTGGAGACAGCTCACATTAATAGATATATCACTGATGTTCATTTACATGTCATTTTGACAGACTATTCCATCTTCTATACACTTCGTTTTTATGTTATTACCTATATGAATCCTCATGTGTTTTTGTAAGGTATCTGATCTGCTGAATTTTTGTCCACATACACCACATTCATAAGGTTTTTCACCTGTATGTATCCTCATGTGTCTCAGTTTGCAACTTGAACGGTAAAATGCCTTTCCACATACATCGCATGTATATAAGGTTTTTCTCCAGTATGTGTCCTCGTGTGACTTTGTAAGATGTTTGACTGAGTGACTATCACCTGTATGTATTCTCATGTGATTCAATAAATGACTTGAATGGTTAAATGCCTTCTGACAAACATCACATTTATAATGTTTATCATCTGTATGTGTCCTCATATGCTTCTTTAAGCCACCTGATTGTTTGAAAGCCTTCCCACACACATCACATTTATAAGGTTTATCACCTGTATGTGTCATCATGTGACCCTTAAAAGCCTGCAACTGGTTGAATGTCCATTTACACACATCACATTTATAAGGTTTATCACCTGTATGTATCCTTCTGTGTTTGTGTAAGTTCTGCAATTGGTTAAATGCCTTCCCACACACATCACATTGATAAGATTTATCACCTTTGTGTAGCTTCATGTGGCAGTTTAAGTTACTTACATTGTTGAAAGCCTTTCCACAAACATCACATTTATAAGGTTTTTCTCCTGTATGGATCCTCATGTGAATCTGTAAGCTACCTGAACGAGTGAATGCCTTATCACACATATTACATTTATAAGGTTTATCCTCTGAATGTAATATCCTCCTGTGACTCTGTAAATCACTTGAACAAGTGAATGCCTTCCCACACAAATCACATGTATATAGTTTTTCACCTGTATGTGTCCTTGTGTGAGTCTGTAAGTCCCTTGAACGAGTGAATGCCTTCATACACACATAACATTTGTGAGGTTTTTCACCTGTATGTATCAACATATGGTCCTGTAGGGCTTTTGCTCCAGATAAACTCTTTTCACACACATCACATTTGTAAGGTTTTACACCAGAATGTGTCTTCATGTGACTCCATAAGCTCTGTGAGTGCTTGTAAGCCTTCTCACACACATCACATTTATAAGGTTTTTCCCCAGTATGTGTCCTCATGTGATCCTGTAAGTGCCGTAACTGGATGAATTCCTTTCCACACACATCACATTTGTATGGTTTTTCACCAGTATGTGTCCTCATGTGACTCTTTAGATTTCCTGGCCAACTGAATGTCTTCTCACACACTTCACATTTATAAGGCTTTTCAGCTGTGTGTGTATTCATGTGTGTCTGCAAGTTTTGTGACTCACTGAATGACATCTCAAATACATAACATTTATACTGTGTTTTATCTGTGAATATCCTCGTATTTCTCTGTAAGGCACCTGATTGGTTCCAAGTTTTTGCACATGCATCACAACAATAAGATACATTACCAGTTTGTGTCCTCATGTAGCCAGCAAAGTCATCTGATACAGACAATGCCTTCCCACAAATTTCACACTTAAAACTTTCCTTACTGGTTTGAGAACTTATTTGTCTCTGTAAGTGACCTGAACTAGTTGAATCTTTCCAACTGTTACACTTTAATGACTTTTTACTTACATGTGTGTTGATGTGTCTTTCGGAATTTCCTGTCTTATCTTCCTCTGCACAATAGTTCTGTAATTTTTCGGTATCTTTCTGAATATTTGAATGGGGTTGGAAATCGCTCCTTTCCTTCTGCAAATATGACAAAGAAATCAGTTTTAATTCTCCATGTTGTGATTATGTTTATTGTAAGGATAAAAAGTTAAACAAATAAATATTAAAGACGCTGGGGTGGCAGCCATTTTTAGACTATTTTAATCTCTTACAAAAGAAGAGCTCCATAACAGATATACAAAAGTGATCAATATTAAAACTAAAATGTATAATTTTTTTCTTTGCCAAATGAAAGTTGTTGGCTAAAGATACAGTATCTAAAAAAAATAAGTTTAATCTGGTGGTTAAATCGTTGACCCCCCCCCCCCCTCCCCAGCCTCCTTAAGTTATACTGATTCAAGGTAATAGTTGTTTTTTTAATTTTAAAAAATGGGTTAAAGAACAAGGGTAAATAAGGACTTCTTTTACCATGTGAATTTCTTAAAATTTAAACTGCTCAGTTTAGGTTGAAAAGACTGTATTCCTTACTTGGCCCCTTGCTAACCATGAATCAATAAAGCATGATGCAATTTTCTCTCTAATCAATGCTTTAAAACATCATCATAGTTTCTTTTTTTCTTTTTTTTTGGTAAATGTGATTTAATATTAAAAGTTGTGTTATCCATCTCTTCATTTCTTCTTTGATGAACCTGACTTCACATTAACAGGTAGATCATTGATGTTCATTTCCATGTCATTTGACAGACTGTATGCCAACATATATACAGCTCAATGCACTGTCTATGCTCAAATGGTTTTTTTGCGCAAAGTTAGGTCACATTCTTTTTGCAATAAAATGATCACAATCGACTTTAAGGTATTCAAAATATATCGACCATATTTTGTACAATCATCGCAAACCACATCCAAAATGTACGATCCTCTCCCTTTCTGGCCGTGGTTGAACGAGGCGAGACTTTTCGTAGCTCATTGAAATATTGACCAATGCGAGTAAACCATAGTCGGATGATGAACTTTATAACGACCTTTCAATGAATATATCGCAGTAAAGGAAATATTTCTTTAACACTGTTGACGTCAGTTGTTGATTTCATTTGCGATGGAAACAAAACTTGCCACTGACTGAATATATACGTCACAATAGAGAGGCGTTTATATTCAAGATTACGACACTTTTTGTGATCAAGCAGCCACTGGTAGGAGAGAGCTATATGCAGACTCCAGATCGTGGCTTGAGACGGTGATTTTGTACCTAATAAATGAATAATACAATATTTTTAATCATTGTAGCATTTAAAGATGCTGACAATCAAAGATGAATATGCGATTGTGTTACAAAATTTGATGGCAAAAATTCGTCAGGTGTTTTATCCAAACATATGAGATTGATGAAGGCTCAAGATAAGTTAGTTAAGTGTGCCCCATATTCTCTTGTAAAATCTAAAATGGCGCCGGTGCATTTATAATCTCGTTTTTCTTAAAGCCATATATGGCGTAACTGATCAAAAAAATATATTTTTGAAAAAAACAAATTTAAGTAAAGAAATATAGTTAAAACATTTAAATTAAAACTTTTCATACAATTCTGAACACGGAGAACACCACGTTTCAACTAAAAATACGATTTTATCTCCTCTGTTATGTGTTATTTAAATCTTTTGTATTTTCTTCCGAGTCGGAGAAAATTCCGAGAATCCTAATTAAATCATGATATCTTTATAACGCAATTGACTTAGATTTTGTAATTTACGGAAAAGTCCTATCTTTATATAAAGTACTGATACAAATAATAAGTTCTTATAATTTTAGTCTAATAATTTTCACTGTACATACGCCATATATGGTTTTAACATATCCAAAAATATTAATGCATGGAAAAAAAATTAGATTTTTACTCGTCTGTTTTTTATTCATTTTTTGGAGGCAAAAGTATATATCAGCAGTTAGTGAGACTTTGTACATTTTATTCATAAACAGTAAGAGTATTTTTATCAATATATTTGCAGAAAACTGAATCAATGTACTTAGTTTTATACAGGCTATGATTACAAAGTTGAGTCACTAAATGTGTACATATTTTGCTGATCGTTCCAATGAAATCAAACTCAATAAATTCCGTGAAACGGTTACATTTTTATTTAACTATTCTTAGGACTTTTTAAAATGTCCCCCAACCTATTTTGCAAATATCACAAGCACATGGATCTATCAATTTCATAACAATGTCAACTTGAATCTACACTACCTGAGGATGCTTCTATATAAATATGATCAATGATGGCTTCACTATTCTTGAGAAGATGATTTTTAAAGTAATTTTCTATATATTTCTATGTAAAATTTGGTCGGCCATTGTGGCCCCGTCCTACCTGTGGGCGAACATTTGATTTGAACAAACTTGAATCTACACTAGCTAAAGATGCTTCAATATACTGTAAATATGATCAATTATGGTTTTTCTATTCTTGAGAAGATGTTTAAAGAAGTTTCCTATATTTTTCTATGTAAAGCTTTGGTTGACCATTGTGACCCTGCCCTACCCCCAGGGGTCATGATTTGAACAAACTTGAATCTACATTACCTGAGGATGCTTCCATATAAATATGATGAATTATGGCTTTATTATTCTTGAGAAGACAATTTTTAAAGAATTTTCCTATATAATTCTATGTAAAACTTTGGTCAGCCATTGTGGCCCCACCCTACCCACGGAGGACATAATTTGATTAAATCTTAATCTACACTACTTGAGGATGTTTCCCCATAAGTTTACTCTTTCCTGGGTTCTTGAGAAGAAGATTTTAAAAACATACCACCAAAGTTCCATAATTCCCAATTATCTTCCCTTGAATGAGGCCCTTTATTTGAACACACTTAAATCCCCTTTACCCAGGCATGCTTTGTGGAAAGTTTGGAAGAATTTGACCATGTGGTTCTTGAGAAGAAGTGGAAAATATGGAAAATTAACAGACAGATGGATTGACAGACAGACAGAGGCCAGACAAAATGTGATCAGAAGAGCTCACTTCAGCCTTCGGCTCAGGTGAGCTAAAAACAGCATAGGTGCAATGAAGATGTAAAAAAATATCAATCGGATAAAAAAGGAAAAGTAAAAAAAAACATTTTGAACCAATAAAAAAATCCAGTCGGGTGGATTTTGGCGAGTCTGTCGGATTACCGCAAAAAAATTTAATAATGGCCCCTGCATATAAAAGAGATGGTCAGATCCAGCATCTGAAGCAAAAAGTGTAGTATGCATTCTTAGATGTATCATCCATGCAAGTTTAAGACTACATTCGGCTTATAGTTCCTTGGAAATGAGACCTGCTCCAAAAAAGTCAACCAGTTCACTCATCCAGAAATTTAGGTCTGATTTAGCATTTGACATGATTGAAACAAGAGGCCCAAGGGCCTTGAATCGCTCTTCTGATAAATTATACAACCTATCACTTGTATTTGAAGCCTCTAACCCGAAGTATTCTAAGACCCAGGTTGCATCACCTGACAAAGTTTGATGATTCTTAGCCAATTAGGACTACTTTTTGGTCTACAATCTTGGAAAACACAAAATGCATCAACTGACAAAGTTTTATAATTCTAAGCCAATAAATACCTAAGATACTTAAATATAGCCATAAAATATCACCATGACCTACTTTTTGGTCACATTTGGGAAAAACCCAAGATGCATCAACTTACAAAGATTGATGATTCCAAGCCTATAAGTACCGGAGATACTTAAATAAAGCAATAAAATGTCAAAAGTAGGTCATCATGATCTGCATTTTGGTTGACATATTTTAGAGTCCCAAGATGCATCTGCTGACCAAGTTTGATAATTCTAAGCAAATAAATACCTGAGATATTCAAAAGTAGGTCACCATGACCTACTTTTTGGACGAAATTCTCCGAAAACCCAAGATGCATCAACTGACAAAGTATGACGATTCTAAACCAATAAGTACTAGAGATACATAAATAAAGCCATAAAATGTCAAAAGTAGGTCACTGTGACCTACTTTTTTGTCGACATTCTCTGAAAACCCAAGATGCATCAACTCACAAAGTTTGATGATTCTAAGCCAATAAATACCAGAGATACTTAAATATAGCCATAAATGTCAAAAGTAGGTCATCATGACCTACATTTTGGTCGACATTTTTCAGAGTCCCAAGATGCATCGCCTGACCAAGTTTGATGATCGTAGGTTTGAAGGTAATCAAAATATGCCTTTTAAACAATTTGAAAACAAATGCCTGTAAAATTCTTAAAGTAGGTCACAGTGACCTACTTTTTCTTAAATATGTTTTTAGGTCCCAAGATGCAGCAACTAGTGTTGTAAAATCGGCATATTTTACTATCAATTATCATATTGAATCGGAAGAACACAATCGATTATATAATCGATAATTTGAACTTTTAAAAAGGTTAAATTTATTCATTAAGCACGAGTAGAATTCCATAACATTTGACCGCGAACTTCAACTTATCTTTATTGGCATACGACATTTTACACAATTTACAAATAATCGGGTCCATCTGCACATTATTTTTGCATGGAGGCTCATCGCCCTTTTTCAGAAAGCCAAAAAATTTCGAACTTTAGATTGTGTTGCACCAGGATATTGATATAATTAGGCGTCATCACCATGCACGTTCGCCATTTTGTTTACCACCAATTAGCACAAGACGAAAGACCACCTTTAAGCAATCACTTAATAGTAGCTTAATGGTGACTTAATGGTGGCTTAAAGAAGTTAATGCCTTTAAGCCACCATTAAGCTGCAACTTACAGGTGCTTAATGTCCAAACTTCATTAAGCTACCATTAAGCCACCATTAAGCTGAGCTTAATGGTGACTTAATGGTCAAACCTCATTAAATTTTTAAGCATCTTATATGGAATCTTTGAACTAACTTTTAGTTGTTTTAAAATCATTTACGCAAAATTTATTCTAACTAATAATTTTGTCTCTATCATAATTATTACGAGTTTTTTGACAACATGCATAAAGTTGAGAACACTGAGAACAAAGTTAGTTAATAGCCACAGGGGCTTGCTCTCAGTGTCTAATAATTTTTTTTTTTAATCATTTTTAGTGATTATAAAATAAAACATACTTTATCAGTGTCATAAATTATTTAAAACAAAAATAATAAATCATTAATACATGCGGTGTTTTAATTTTTAGTGTATATGATTTTTAAAAATAAATAATTATTACACGCCGGGAGCAAGTCCTTGTGAAATATCTTATATTTTCAATAACCAAAATCAATGTGTTCTTAAATTATCTTTATCCATGAACACAAAATACATATTTCTTTTTTGTAAAAAGGGTGTTTATAATTGCATGTGTTATAAGAAACATTCCACTACAGAATTCATGGGAATATAACTTTAAGTCAGATAATCTCATGAAAAAAAAATCGCTGTCTTTTTTGGGGGAGGGGGTGCACTGGTTTACAAATGTTTAGTTTTCAAAGATGGACTTTTACCAGGGACCTACCTGCTTTTACATCAGGAATAATTTTAATTAATTCGTTATTTTTTTAATTTTTTTTTTTATAAAATACAGTGGTAAGCATGGTAAGTATCTGTAAAAATCTAGTTGATCTTTTATTTCTTTTTTTTGAAAATGCAACGGTAATAATTATAAGTATCTGTCAAAATCAAGTCAGTCTTCGATGATTGTTACTTCAAAATCGATTTTCTTAAACATGACATCCGA